CACTTTTACTTTCACTTTCACTCACTTACTTACTTGCACTACCCTGGTCACCTATATACATATATATTGCCCGACTGAGGCCTAGCACGTTTTACAAATTGCAAGACGTTATGATGTGACAATACTCACTTAAAGCAACCATAAAAATTTAGAAGGTTCTGGTAATACGACGTCAATTCACAACAATTGAACTACACAACAACTGGTTTGTAAACAGTTACTTAAACAAACCTGCGATAAATTATCGCTTCCAAAAATACTAAATTTAATATTCAAGCTATATAACTACCTAAACCATAACTTTCGTATTACATTTAAATTAAACAGTAGTGTATATCTAAGAAATACATACATGTACAGGTAAAATATTATTCACCAGGGAGAGAGAGTACACACTTATACACACAGAGAGAAAGGGATACAACTTGTACAATATTTTTTTGTTTTATAGCGAATTTCAAACGTGCTTATAAACCTACTATATCTTTAGAATTGCCATACGTATATGCTAATGGTTAATTACGTAATCATTCAGTTACAATTAATATTGGTTGTTCTGAAAATGCGCGAAAGCTATTAAAATAAAAGTTGGTAGTAATAAACTTTATTCATTTATGGATATTGAATAGTTGATAAATTATTGTATACGATCCAAAAACTAACCTTACAAATACAGACATTTTAGTTAACACTTCTCATCCAAAGTTCTTGGTTGGTTAACAAATTTATTATCATATTTTACAGCTTCTAAAACTTTTAATATTAATATACTTTAATGTTTTTTTTTGTTTTTTTTTACAGACGCTTTATTTGTTTGTTTGAAGTTAAGCACAAAGCTACACAATGGGCTATCTGTGCTCTGCTCACCACGGGTATCGAAACGTGGTTTCTAGCGCCGTAAGTCCGCAGACATAGATGGATTTTTTATATCCTTATGGATACAAATCTATTTACCTTATGCTATTAATTTGTATCAGGTTTTTTAGGCAAGTCTGTTATGGACGTTCTATAACTATATAATTTAATTCTGATGAATAAGAAAAGGAAAACTATAATACGTGATACTAAAACTGTCTAAATTTAGACAAATGTAAGTTGTCGTTTTGTTATTACAAGGATTTTTTAAAAATAAATGTCGACAATTTTCATTTCATATTTTAGGGTTTCCTTCATCTTCTAGTTACTTTTTTTCTATCTTTATATAAGAATATTATAATTTTACAATTACTTAGTAACTTAGATATTTCAGAATTTGTAACAACTTAAAGCTAAATATAATCGTTTTTAAGAACACGGTTTAGCATAATTTTTTATTGTATTAAATAAAAATGTTATATAGATTTCAAAGCAGTTATGTTAGAGGATGTTTATACGGAGTTATCAGACATTTATTACCATAAATAACTTTTACAATAGCAGGTTATTTAAATTATTACAAGCCTGTTTTGGTTCACACCACTTGCAACCTTGAGTGACTAGTACACGTGTATGCGATAGAATGGGAGGTATTTTAGGGTAGTTTATGTAAATGAGTAGTCTGGGACGATATGTCACTTCGTTGAAATTAGAAAGGTAAATTCTCATTTTTCTCCACTTCATTTTTATTAGTAAGAATAAACATGGTCATTGTCTTTTTACTGTGTTATTAATAAAAGTATTGTTATGACAGCGGAAGTCGCGTGACGCTGGGAGCATGCGCGCTGGAGTTTCTAGAATTATCGGGAAACAGTAGGCACCGTCAATAAAGTGTGTGAATCACTGTGATTTATAGCGTGTGTTATAAAGGTTGTTAAGTTTAATGTGACTGTGGAAATTCTGTGCATTACAAAAAGTTTTTATCGAGAAAGAATAAACTAGTTTTAATCAAAAAGGAACTTGTATCGCTGAAGTTCCTCGGAAAGATATTATACCGGAAATTAACAAACAAGCAGATGCGCAACAGTATGTAACGAATAGGGGAGTTGGAATGTTAATTTCAGGAAATCAGTTTTACTTATCACCCTAATACTGTGTTTTCAATTACCTGTTTTAATTTATTTGTTTTACTTTTTCATTAAAAATGGCTACTTTTGCACAAGTGACTGAAGAGAGAACGAATGATAGTTTAAGTCTGGATGTTGTGAGTTTGAGCACGCGTATCTGTTTTAACTTTAACATCAATATAATTTCAAGCGTGAAACTTCCGAATATATATATATATGTTTAATCTTATAGACCACGTCCCCACCACTTTTTTTGGGGGTTCTATGTTTCCAAATACTTCTCCTGTAAAGATATATTTTACATTCTAAAGTTTTATCTGTCTGTCCTGTATTAGAGACGCTCTTTGTTTTTGGCCAAATTGTTTGAAAAAGTAATATACAACGAATACTGAAGGTATAGAACTGTTTATGTATTATGATTCGTTTCCTCTAAGTGAGTAAGCATCCTTGAATTTTACCTGTTTCATCTAGATATTTCATTGGATAAAACTGTTGTGCATACTTTATAAACACTTTACACACATGGCACATACTGTCAGAAATAATCTTTCCATCAACTATTCTGTCTAGAAGTATATTGTTGTTACAGCGATTATTTAATGTTAAAGAAAACTGCTCCGTACTTTGATAAATATTCTCATATTTACGCCAGTGCTTTAAATGGAAACACGTTGTCAATCAGCCCATGCGTAGTATTATCTGAGTAAAAGCATTATCCATGTAAATCTGGTGTCTTGGAAACGTTTGTATTCAACGTGATGTTCATTCAAGCTTAACGTTGATGAGATAACAACGCAGTATGTCATCCATGAATTCATATATATTAATTAAAAGTTTAGAAACAATACTTAATCTCCAAGAAAATGTCTTCACTTCTAAGCACAGACATTTGTGTACAAACAACTGAATACAACTAATTTATCAACAAACTGTAGTTGTACTAATCCTCTAATATGTCATGGGATAATCGACGTGAAATTTATTCGCTTATACATTTAATTTAAACAACTGGAAGCGCTTTTTTTTTTTCGTTTCAAAAATTATAAATCTTATGTTAGTAAACAAATATCTATATATTCGTTAACCGAACATCGTAGGGATTTATTTACGTAATAACTGGGAAGATCAACGATATGCAATGTTTAAGTTTTAGTAATCGAAATTATTTTGAACGTTTATACAAGGATAAACAACATCAGCCAAATTTCTCGGATTAACAGATTACTCCAAATTAAAGTAGATGAAACATATAAATAATATCATAACAAAAGTTTGTCAACGTACGAATTATGTCAGGAGTCTAACGGGCAAAAACAACGGAACTTCAGCCGAGAATATTATCAGAATATAGAAAACATACATACACCCAATTGTAGAATATGCATGCCCGGCATGGATTAGTAAAGCACCGAAACACATGAATAAATTACAAAATATACAAAACTCGTTACTAACTACAGCATACAAAACACCCAGATACACTTCATCAAAATTTCTGCACAAATATGCAAATATCCAAACACTCTGCGATAGACTCCTACAAAATTCGCTAAATTATTTCGCGCAACACTTGCACAAAAATGATCTACTGTGTGAATTAGATCGCTACTGCATAAATTATGAAGACAGCCCTAAGTTCCCTCTCACCTCTTAACATTTCTAATGGAAATAAGAATTTAACGCTAGACTAAGACACCAACATTAATTTTATGTTTATACGATAGCATTGTAAGGGTATTATACGTAAATGATCTGGATGAGCAATAAAACCAATATCACATGATAATTACATGTAGAAATGTAAAGAGATAATGTATGTATCATAGAATATCAATGTAAGTATCAACATGGACATTGCATTGAAGGGGGATCAGAGTAAGTGCGGGATACTCTGACCCTCATGTAGTATTTAAATTTATATTCACCCGAAACAGCAACCATCCATCAGGTAGGAGGAAGAGATCCTATGGAACCTGGCTCTCCCAGGTCTGTAAGGTCTAAATACCGATAATGAGACGAGAGGTAAACCCTTATTAACCAGATTTGAACCAAAATGTGGAGACGAGCAAATTATGTCAAGAACCTGTCAGTTAACAATTCAGGAACTTCATCACAGAACATTATTAAAATATACAAACAATACATACGACCAATAATCGGATATGTCAATCCAGGATGGATAAACATTTCACCAACCCTAATCAAAAGACAATTACAACCAATACAACACTCGATACGCACTGCAGCATATAAAGTACCAAGAACCACAAATTCAAATTTCTTACACAAATATACGAACAATAAACGACAGGCTCTTACACAGCTCAAATAATTATTTCAAGAAAAATATGAATAAGAATGAGTTACTGATTTCACTGTCTCCCTACATCATACATGTGATATATGAGTGGGCATGGCTTTGAAAGGGGTTGTTGTGACTATTTTCAAAGAAACTTCTCAAACATTTCGACATTGTAGCTGCTTTTAGGGTTAAAAAGAAAAACCACGAAGAAAAGTTAAAATTAACGTGTTTCATTTGGGTTAGGTCTTTATAAGCGAAACACTGGTATTATCTGTATATAACTTCAAAAGATTAAAAAGCAAAAATTATAGAGGGCGTTTTTTTTTTTAAATGGTGCATATCGTATATCCTTAAACAGGTTACCGGAAGTTGGGTTCGACCCAACCCACCAAAACTCCCTCCTCATTGAACCTTCGGCACCAGTTTAATTACAGGGTTTATTTGAAAACTGCCGGTGCATCGATTATGCTACTAAACCGACGATGTTTTATATAGTTTTTCTTTCTCCAGGAATTTTTGGGTTAGTAATTTCTTTATTACAGTTAAAGGTCAACGAGGGTCATGACATATTTTTTGTCGTAATATAAAACCGTCTCTAATTTTTTGTTATTGAACTGTAGAATAAAAGCATGTAAAACCTATGTCTAGGGAAAATATATTAAATTGGGTACAAAAAAATGTTGTTTTTAATGCATTTCCATTATGCTGTTTTGCAGGAGACACTATGCTGGCTGTTTATCTATTGCTGATAATAGTGACATCTACTGGCGTACAGAATAGTTTTTCCTTGAATGATTTTAGAGAGAACGAAGTTGACCAAGATCGACTTGTATATGAGCCGTAAGTAGTTTTTGTTTGCTTGTTCAGTACTGTTGTCTCCTTCTTCATCTTTAGGTGTCTCATTTAATAGTATAAAATTTGGAGTTTGATTTTGAGCTAAAGAGCTTTGCTTGTTTTCTTTTTTTTTAACACAAAGCTGCAGGAATCGAACTACGAATTTCAGCGTTGTAAGTCCCCCAGTTTACCTCTGAGCTATGACGAGCAGGTATAGAAGAGTAATGAAGGTTGGAGTCTGTTATCAAGTGAATTTATTTGAAATGTATTTTTCCAGTCATCCTAATCCAATAACTATATCTAATCCAATAACTATAAATTTCAATGTTGAATATGTAAGGCAATACATTAAAAAAATCTTATTATACGATTTTGAGAAAAGGAACACAAGGTGATGGTTTACTTATAACTTCAAAATATATTTAATCCATCGTCCATTCTCGTTTTCGACTTAAAATTATGTAAAGGTTTATTAGCAGTTGATCAATTAAATGGAAACGATCATATGAGACAGCTCCTTTTTTTTGCATTCCAAATCCTTAAGACAGTGTACATAGCTGTTAGTTAAAATATTCTGATTGAAAGGCTTACAAACATATCATGAGGAATGAGTGAACACACACACACATATATATATGCTTATATGTTTAATCATCAGATATTTATCACAACATTATTAAATCCCCTTTGAACTTCTTGGTTTAAAATATTTTTGTTTTGTTTTGAGGGGTATACTTCGGAAGTCACAGTTTCGCCGATATGTTCGAAAATATAAAATTTTTCTTAGTTTTCTCCATAATGGTGCCCTATGAATGGAGAAGCTTCCTAAATCTGGATAAATTAGTAAACTCTAACTTAGATATCGAAACTTGCTTAAGGTTTTTATTTCTTAACACGAATAAACTGTGATATAATCAACATACTCCTTTTATATTATACCGCAGACTGATAACCGCCTGAAATTATTATCTAATTGTTAATCATAGGCAAGTGAAGAAGTTCAATGTATTTAAAAGACTATCTGCTGTGAAAACTAAACACATACATATTTGAATATAGTGATAAACAGGTCTTTACAGTGACGTCATGCAGGAACCTTTTCTGGTATTATGGTGAGACACACCCAATGATTCAGATATAGTGATAAAAAGGTCTTCACAGTGACATCATGCTGGTACCTTTTCTGATATTATGGTGAAACAAACCCAGTGGTTCAGATATTGTGATAAACAGGTCTTTATAGTGACATCATGCTGCTATCTTTTCTGGTATTATGGTGAGACACACCCAATGGTTCAGATATAGTGATAAACAGGTCTTTATAGTGACATCACGCTGGTACTTTTTCTGGTATTATCGTGAGATACATTCAGTGGTTGAGATATAGTGATAAACAGGTCTTTACAGTGACATCATACTGCTATCTTTTCTGGTATTATGGTGAGACACATCCAGTGGTTCAGATATAGTGATAAACAGGTCTTTACAGTGACATCATGCTGGTACCTTATATAGTATTACGGTGAGACACACCCAGTGGTTCAGATATGTGATTGAAAGCCTCAACGTACTTTCGAATATAGTAAATGCTGAAGTTAATTTACATTCCATCAAAATGACAGTCTGTTCTTGCTTCGTTAGGGATTTAGTTGAATTAAAGACTAATTGTTTTATAAAATTTGCCAGAAGAACAAAAGGAAACAAGACAAACTCAATATTTTCATGTGACCTGTTCATATATATCTAAACTGTAACCTTATTTCTCTTCTAAAGTGTGTGTCAACAGAATCTTGTCCTCTTGTAGTTTTTCACTCTGTCGCCTTGAAGTTCTAGAAAAAGGATTGCGAAAAGTGTATACGCCCAAATACAATGTACTAAGGCAACTTAGTTAATACCAGATCATATTATTGTACATTTCTTCAAAAACAAACAAACAAAAAAAAACTCAAGGCTTCCAGTTTCCCTTCCCTTTCATTTGGAAATATTCGTATGGGAAATGTCACTTTATTATATATATATATATACAAGTTTGGAGCTATTTTTTATTTTCTCGTGTTTATATAAGATATTTTGCAAGTGTTTGTTTTGTTTGTTTGTAATTAAGCACAAAGCTACACAATGGGCTATCTGTGCTCTACCTACCACGAGTATCGAAACCCGGATTCTAGCGTTGTAAGTCCGCAGACATAGCGCTGTGCCACTGGGGGGCTTTTTTTTTTTGCAAGTGAAGGCCTCTATATTCAACTAATTAAGAAACTGTTAACATATATCATAGTTTTTTACAGGAATATCACATCTCTATCTCTAGGTAAAACGTCTACCACATGTCTTGTGTATCTGATTTACATCGTATTTGGTGTAATGATAGAGAGGTGAAGTTTGGAGGCTAGAAATTAAAGTTAAAACTCGTGCGAGTTATACGTGATGGAGGATGCTTGGAATTACCGTAGTCTGCAAATAGTACACATACCTTGTTTTCTTATAGTATTTATTTAATAATAACAACATTTTTGAATTTTTCTAAGTTCTGAATGGAAGCATACTAAATTCGGTTGGGGTTATGTGTTAAATTCGGGCTGACATGTTACTTTTTAGTAGCCTGACCAGTCAGGACCCAAGAAGCTGAGGAAGCACAGAGACAAAGCAGTGGACGGTCTCTGGGAACCATATTTTACAGAAAACACTTATGAAAAATGGTTTTAAATTTGTTATTACGGAACAGCGCAACCAAATAAGAAATATGTAAAGACTTACAAATATTTATTTCGTTTGGTCCGGACACAGGTGGCCTCCGCTCCGCCAGTATCATTATGGATGGGTGTCGAAATTTAAATTGATTTAAAGGATATGTTTTCAATTTCCCTAAGTCAATAATTTTAAATTACGACATTTAATATCTAAGACAAATAACTAAAAAAACGTGAACATTGTTTGCTTTCTTTTTTTTTAATGTTTGCTTAAACTTGCCCTCCCCTGCTGATGATATGCCATCGAAACTTATCTACTGTTTGATTGGATATTTGCATTGTGTCCTACCTAACCTATTGCATGGAGGATACCTTGTGAGTCACATGGAGCAGTGAGATTTCTGCCTTTCTAATGCCTTTTTTTTATTGGTCAGCTACAGAAAGAATGTGTATTGTAAATGTAGTGAAGAGAAAAGTTCGTTTCTCAATTTGAGTGAAACAAGATTTGTTGTGAAAGTCTGGGCTTTGTCTTACCTGATGATCACGTGCAATTCATCTTATGTTATTTTCATTTCCAAGACAACTTTGAATTTACTCTCATTCAAACACAATTTACTTCATTTTAACATAACTTGCTTTACAACACAATAGCTTCTGTCACGTGTATATACATCATTGATGATTCTGTAGCATCAGACAAATTAAAACATGTTATATTTTCCCTCACTTCGTAACTCTGTCTTTTTACATTCATTCACCCGTAACAAAGCGCAACACCCCTCCTACCGAGTATTAGATCCACGAATTTCTATAATTTTTGTCGAGATCGGGTGACTGTGTTCTACGTCTATCGCGTATTTTTACGTTACGAACGATGAATGACTGTCTTAAGCCTAAACATATAGTGTGCTTTGTGCTTGCATAACTAAGTATCACGTGATCTAGTAGGGACTGTCTTTTTTTGGCACGATAATCGTGCCGGAATAAATGAATTATTATAATGTTATTATTATTATATTATTTAACCTAACCTAAATAAGTTGAAAATATTTTTCTACAAACTAAGAGTTTGTGTTTATATCGTGTTCTTTGAAGATATGCCGTTACTTCTTAACATATAGTTAAGTGAAAATAATCTGTTTAGGTTGCTCTACATTTTGTTTGTGCTCGTCAAAGCCAGTATTGAACCATTTTTACATATCTCTTATGTCGTAAATCTATACGCGGCACTTTAGATCTCTCGAAAAGATTAATAATAAGAAGTGTGAATTATTACTCTGTCTCGTGGATGTTTCTGTTCACTGTAGCGTACATCGTCTGTTGTTTCGTTCTTATAACGTTTTGCATTATGTTACAAATGTTTAATATATAAAATTCAAAATACATTTCGAATCTCTCAGTGGATGATACGCTGGTAACTCTTGATTTGTGTTACAGTGTGCGTGTGTGCTTGAGAACAAAGTGCTAAACATTCCCAATTGTTCACTATGTTTCATAGAAAAACAGAACATTAGTATAAAGGTACACATTATCACATCATTTTCTCGTTTGAAAAGAATTGCAACTGTTGCAAATCATCGCCCCCCCCCCCCCGATGTAACAGCTTGCGAAGCTTTTAACAAATCATCTTGTATGAAAACTGGCTTTCGACATTAATATAGAAATATATTTGCCCTTGATGTTAAAAGCTCTAATCGCTAAGGGTTGAAGACATTCAGTTGGGGTTGTTTTATGATTTACAGTTACTAAAGTGGAAACTAGTTCTCACTCCTCCAAGGATAAACTTAAAGTTCAAGCTGTTTGAATCTCTTTTTAAAGGTTTGCTTTCAAATCGGAAAAGACTGCCAACAAACTTTGTCTGTTATATTAAAATTTCAAGCTGCTTGATTTTCTCTTGAAATGTTTCTTTCAAGCTATTTGTTGAAGAATAACAACAAACAGTACCTGGTGTATAAAATATCAAGCTGCGTGATTTTCCTATGAAATATTTGTTTTAAGTCGGAGAAGAATTTCAACAAACAATATCTGTTTATTTTTAGAAATAGTTGATTAATAATGGATAAACAGTTGCAACAGAATAAAGTTCCCAGGCTAGTCCTAATGGTACCACGCTTTACCCCAGTTACATACACAAAACAAGTAACTTGTCATTATTAAGTGTACCACGCTTTACCCCAGTTAGTTACATACACAAAACAAGTAACTTGTCATTATTAAGAGAATCACAACACTGGAGAATAAGTATTATCACAAAACTGAAACCAGAAACACTCTAACCTTTGTCCTCCACATGTTTTCGAGTGCGCTACACAAATCTGTATTGCCATACATGCTGTACTCCAAACAAAGGTAGATAATACACGTCAACATGCACTTGTATATATTACCTGTTATGTTTTGCTTTTTAGTTCTGGCACAGTACATGTAAATTATTTGGCGCCTGTTTTGTGAAAATGGGATTTTTTCCGGGTGCTTCTAAAACCACTCACAACTGATTTTATGCTATTGGATTTGTCGATCCAGACAAGGTATTGGGTTTAAAGATCCACGTCACCCTGATAAAAGGCCCTTTCGTTAGTTACAGAAAATTGTCGTCAATCAAGTCTTCAATCGTGGCCTTGAATGTTGCTGTTTTTACCTTTTGCTAACTAGCCAATTGTATTTTTAGTTTTTGTCCAAATTTTGAATTCCTTTATCTTTAATTTAAATCTAAAAAATTTTCAAGTTAAAAAAATTGCAATTTTACCAATACATTCGATATATTTAATCCTCCTAATCGTAGCTGTAAATTATTTATTTACCTTTTTATTTTATTCATTGTTTATTTTTTATTATTATTATAATTTCTTTTTTTTACCACTAATTAAAACTTAATACCACGAATGAGGCGAAAGAGAATTGACTGGTTCTCGAACACCCGACTATTAAAAACCCAAATACCTATCATTGATGATTGTCATACAAGTAATGAAAAAACTATTCAAAATAGGAAGTAAATGTAGGGATGGCTAATATCAATCCTTCAAAAACAATGCAAACAAGATAGTAGGGATGCCATTTGCATCATCCTTACATAATACAGGCACACAGTGTAGTAGAATGTCAACAGGAAAAATAGGATAAATTAAACTCAGTTGTGATTGAATAGTTATGTATATTGTTATATGTTATTTTTTGCCTTATATAGGCAGTGCTACTTCCTGCCTTATAAAAGTTCGAGCTGCTTGAGTTTCTTTTGAAAAGTTAGTTTCAAGTTCGAGAAGATTGTCAACGAACTGTATCTGTCATGTAAAAGCTCAAGGTGCTTGATTTTCTTTTGAAAGGTTAGTTTCAAGTTGGAGAAGATTGTCAACAAACTGCGTATATTATGCTACGTCAAACAAATACTGTTTATCTATGTAGAAGTGTATTTTAGCATGTTTGTTACCCTTAGAGCTTAAGAAATGGAATGCATAATTGCGCAAGCAAGTTAAAATATATGTCAGTATATTTCTATAAGAAATAGCTTATGTTGGATTTTTGTTTTCTTTTTTGTCAGTATCAATATTATCACATAATAAAATGCTCAATTTATTGAGCGGGTTTTGCCGATGTAATTTTGGAGGTAAGAGAAAATTTATATATTATTTAAATACAAATATAAATTGCACTTAAGAAGAAAAATGTTCCAAATCCCGTGCTGTCCTTGGAATTAATTATATATCGTCGGTTGTCCTCAATCAAATATCCATGATTACGCACCATTGCCAGACACTGTATTTTTTTAAAAAAATTAATAGTATATGGGATGGCGAGGTCAGTCTTAGACGACACGTCCTGACAAACTTTGACGTGCGACTCAACTCTAGCTACACCTTCTTGGCTAATTAATGGCTCTACTGATTAGGAAGTTCATCTTGCATAACACTTTCCTGATAGTAACCAGAGGTCACGTTGCTTGTTTTTTGTTTTTGTCAAGTTTAGCTTTGTAGTTATTGGAGAAAACTGGGGCAAACATTGTCCAAAGAAAAATTTTCTTTATATTATATGTACCATATTAGAAATTTCACTTGATATTCGGCATAGTAAACTACCTGTTTCTTGCCGAAGTTGCTCAAATAAATTCGGTCCTCGTCCTATACAGCACAAAAATCTTTCTTCCCTCGAGTGCAAGGTAATTTTTGTATTATAGTTTTTTGGAGTTTGTCTTGTGTACTTCGTGGTGTATGTTTCTTTACAGATATCTTTTCACAGTTGATTGGAATGAGTGCAACTTGTTAACAATCACTGAAAGTGGTGTTCCTGAACGATCAGTCTGCATAATTAGCAGCAGACCTGTATGTGATAGAATGATATTTAGATGGTTTTTATTTCCATATCTATGAGTTTCCTGACCTCCTCTTGTCGATAATGTTTTCTTTGCTTTTGATAGTTGTCCTTGACATTTGTGTCTCGGGGTTTACGTCATTTTGCGTTTTCGCTGTACGATTAAATTGATATCCTTACTCGAAAAGGGGTTGTGACAATATATTTCTCCATTCATAAGTTTACCATGGCGTTATAGCACTGTTGAGTAGTCAGAAATTCCCCGTGAATGAACGATGTAGGTGACATGGCTGCTGAATATGCTGCCCATAGAGACACGTCTTGCACCTGCGGCGAAACTCCGCTGTATACAAATCGTTCTTGTAAGATGATATTATTCCTTTGTATTATTTAGTTCTTAAATATAACATAGATGAAGTACATATTTGAAGTTTTTATGGACTGCAACTGTCTGATGTGAAAGAGTGAGCGATATTTTACTGAAACTGTCGTTCGGTCTTCATTGAACCTGATGCTGGCCTCAGCGCACAGACGGAAGTGTTACTCACTTTTACACATTAGATAGATGCAGCCATACAAGATGTATATCCAGCATACTCCACCTGCAACTCCTTTAAAAACAAGATGATACTTTTGTTTCAGGACCTATTTCGTTGTCGCTTCAAAGGTCGTAAGGCCAGGTCAGGTGTATAGGGTATCCGTCACTGTTTTCCGTTCTTCAGTACCAGTGACCGTCCGAGCGTCCGTGCAGAGGAATGGGGTCGAACTGTCTTCAGCACTAGAAGAGTGCAGAACAAACATACCAGAAACTTTGTTATTAAAGGTACATAAGTTAATTTTCTTATATCTGTCTTTCACACACACACACACACATATATATATATAGTATTTTCTTGAAATTAAAAGAATGTTATATTTCTCATATACACACTGGGCTTCACTTTCTGAAGCAAAACATAATTTAATAGTACAATAACATATTTTAGAGAAGAAATGAGTTGATGATAAATATTTTTTCTTCTCTTTACAGATACCCCCAACTAGTGTGGTGGGTGTTTACAAACTCCGCGTTGAAGGGAATGTAAATGGTGTATTGGGTGGAGCAGCATTTCTCAATGAGACCTACCTGGAATTTTCGCAGCGGACCATGACAATTTTCATCCAGACAGATTGTCCAATTTACCGCCAGGGCCAGACTGGTAAGAAGAGCTGTTCATTACTCTCATAATAATTCATGTAAAATGTTGCCCTCTATGTCTGTCTAGATAGTTATTTGTTTCTTTCTTCGTGTTTTTACCTTCGGATTCCTTAAAGTTACAGTTAGATTTGATCACACATATACAGGTGGCAGCACTGTATAATTTCACCGATTGTACAATGGTAATAAACGTCACCGATTAAAAGTTTTATAACGTAAGCTTATGGAAAATCGTGGTGAATCTTATTCCATGACGTCGTATTTGGACTCCAGTCATTTACAACTTAATAATTTCCGCTGTTATTATATTCCTTGCACGGTAGCATAGAACAACTTTCATAATATTTTATGCTAAAATCAATTTCCTTTATGCTCAGTAGGCCTTATTATCTAAATTTCGTTTAGGCTCCAATAGGCCTTATTCTCTAAATTTCCTCTAGGCTCCAATAAAGCTTATTATCTAAATTTACTTGTAAATAGTCTGAATTGCATGCTCAAATAATAATTTGTTTGTGAAAAAAAGATAATTTATGAATGATCAAGTATTTGTCTATGTTACATGGCTAAGGCCAGACCTTCAATCTGTGTGATAGTCAATATGGAATAGTTTAGTATAGGTACAAGTGGAATTCTTAGGCTAAAAGTTATGAAATGACAACTATTTTCAAGTCTGCTTCCGTTGTTACTTTCTGCCGCTTTCTTATATGCTAGTTTTGCTTTTAATAATTGTTAATATTGGATATCATAACTAGCGTTTAATCGTGACTGCTATTTCTTATTTCAGTTCGATTCAGAACAATTCCAATCACAACCGATTTGAAAGCTTTCTCTGATGCCGTGGATGTGTATATGCTAGACCCAGAAGGAACCATAATGAAACGATGGCTGTCTCGCCAGAGTAACCTTGGTAAGTTGGCAGCTTAAGTTTTCACATGAATTAGAATAGTGTTTAAATGGTTTAGGTTATTGTGATAAAGTACCGTTAACATTAACTTCCGAGCAGAGCAAGCTATCTTCTTTCGTCCAATCTAAAAATGAACGTGGTACTGAGTATAACTAATTAAATGTACCTTTCTTATATTAAGAGGAAAATGCATTGCTTCATCAGTTGGATAATCTCACTATTAGCGATATTTTCGTCAATAAATCCAGTAATATCTCATGATGTTTGGTCAACTTAGAGAATTTAGGTTAATTCTAAATCCACATACTAAGCTAACAGTCCAAAACAATCTATAATACAAGTACTACAAAATTAAAATCACAAAACTAAATATACTAGCCATTCTAACTGATACTGTTAATGAAAGTAATATTAAGGGAGTCTGACATCTGAGATAAACTGTTGTAGAGTTAAGTTACAAGACAGTACCAGTAGTACAATCAAAAACTAATTGTTATGAAGATACAACATATTAAATAATAAATGAATACCCCGAAGTAGCTAGAATATTGGTAATTTAATTAAAAATATAACAATATTGAATGTAATAAAAAGAAAAACAAGATATTAAACACACTATGCAACTAATCCAACTATAATTAACCTCTGCCACTTGACAAAATGCATGGAGCGGGCAATAGAAAGTAATAAATAAAATTAAATCTTCTGTAACAACCAAAAAATAAACGCGATAAGCCTAGACAGTTCAATAACAATAATAGTAAAACTTAGAAAGAAGGTTACAACAATGGTATATATGACAATTAAAGTAATTAGCAGAAGCTAACGTATCTTAACTAATGACGTAATGTTACACCATATATGGAACATGATATATAGCTAATATTAACTATAAATATAGTAAGAATTTAAAGTAAAGGTGGTTAATTGAATACATTTTGTGTTTAAAATGCGATGGCAGAAACCTCGTTTGTGAAAATGCGAGTGAGTTTAAGAGCTCTGGCCGAAAAGTTTAGGAATGTGTATTGTGTGTTTGGAATTAAGCACAAAGCTACTCAATGGGCTATCTGTGCTCTGCCCACCACGGGTATCGAAACCCAGTTTCTAGCGTTGTAAGTCCGCAGACATACCGTTGTGCCACTGGGGGGCGGAATGTGTAACAAATTTCATTGTATTTAATAAGCTTGACTAATAAACATTGTAATATACATTGTAATACTTGTATTTGAAAACACCGTGATAATTAGGTATCAGAATGTAATCAATATATGAATGAACAAGCGCGACTGATATGCTTAGCTTTATTATAGCCTTTCTTACTAAGATTTGATATGTATGATAATACAAGGTCAAATAAATATAAACCCGCAACTTGTGGGCTGAGGTTAAATCCCATTGAAATTTCCCGTAATTGTTGGAAGAGATGTTAGCCAAATTGCACAAATGTGTTGCCAAGTGCAAAATACATATTGTGAAAGAGTCCGTTTATTGTAAAACAATGGTAATATTTATGTGTGACATTGTCTTAGAGACATTTATATTTACTAAAGCAAAGCAGTAATTTAACATAATTATTAAAATATCTTGACTTTTAATTTTTATCAATAGGAAGACTAGTAAACATTACTAATGTCAGTAAACATTACTAATGTCAGTAAACATTACTAATGTCAAAGGTTTCTGTTGTTTTCGCCTCAAAGTTTTAACTTTATCTTTACATTCAGTGGAATTAATACAGGTTTTCTCTTTGATAATATTACACTGTTTGTTAAAATGTTCTTTAATGTATTTCCAATCATTACCTATTACAACTGACATATCCCTAGTTGTAGCCTTCTTTTTAGCCCTAGCAATAAACCTGTATTTGTATGGTGTTTTATGTAGTTAGGAACCTAAAATAATTTAGGTATTCGTTCTAAGATTTTTCATAATGTATATAATATATAATAGAACTGCGTGATACTTTCTATATCGGTTTTCAAATATTTGCACATCTCGCTACCCAAATATTTTTTCTGTTTGTAAATTAAACCCAGTTAATTGCATACAGTTGTAACATATTTTTTTTACAAATGAAAACGTTGCTTTATTTGCAACATTCATGGTATATATACTGTGTAACATAAATATTAACTAATTTCTTTCTTACTCAACATGTTCGTTGTTGTTAATAGTGAATTTCTTTAAGGTTTGTTTGTTTATGTATTTCGCACAAAGCTATTCTAGGGCTAACTCCGATAGCCGTCCTTAATTTTGAAGTGATAGACTAGAGAGAAAGCAGCTAGTCAACAACACCCACCGCCAGCTCTTGGGCCACTCTTTTACCAACGACAAGTGGGATTGACTGTTACATTATAATGCCCCTACAGTTGAAAGGGCGAGCATGTTCGGTGACGGATTTCGAACTCACGACCCTCAGATTGCGAGTCGAGCGCCCAAACCAGCGGGCCATCCCAGGCGTTTTGTTAAGGGTTTTACGCGTTTATGAGTTATGTCTTTAACTCTGATTACCCGCTTTCTAATTAGGATTACTTTTAAGTTGTTTTCTTTACTCCGTTTAACTTCAACTTGTTTTCTCTACACCATTTAGGTAAAACTATATTGAATGATTTACCAATTACTTGTTTAGTGCGTTTACAATTAATGTTAAGACATTTCCGGAATTTAGGACCTTTTCTCATGTATAAGCAAGAGCTTCATTGTTAAATTTCCCATAAAACGTGTTTGAATTGTTTTTAACATTTTGAAACATTAAACAAACTCTACCTTCTATTAATGCTATAGAATTTATGTAATTTGATAGATTATGCCGACAAATAGATATATTTTTGTAATTTGTCAGTATTATGCATAAGTCAAGTCATGCATTTTTCAGGCTTTTTATACAGTAGGTGCTGTTAGTTTGAAATACCCACCGTTTGTGTAAATCACAGTCAGGCATTATTCAGAATTTTTATACAATAGGTGCTGTTTGTTTGGAATACCCACTGTTTGTGGAATTCAGTCATACATAATTCGGACTTTTTCTACGATAGGTGCTGTTAGTTTGGAATACCCACTGTCTTTACAGCCAGTTTATGGACGCTGGATCATTCGTGTCGTAGCCCAGGTAAAAAGAGACAATTCGTTTTTATTTATTGTGCCACATATTAAGTCAGTTATTTGGTAAAGTTGTCATTATCTCGTATTAATCGGATAAGAGTGACGTTAGCATTCACATGTTCAAGTGACACTTATTGTAAGCGAAAACTTGAATTTATTAAAACACCAACCTTGATTTGAAAATTAAAAATGACTCACAGGTGGGTGTAGACAGTTTAGTTTTGTTTAATTAAGTGTAGGTTGATGCGTATTGGGATTTTTTTTTTTCATTGACTAAAATTCTTTAAAAGTTTTATATCTTTTGTGACCTTGATTTGCCACAATACTCAAAATGTTTTTTTGTTGTTTTAATTTGAACGTTCTGAAAGAGAAATTTATTTTCAGGGCCAAATAGAAGAGAAAACGTTTGTAGTAGAAGAATATTGTAAGTAAAGAAGAATGTTTACATTACCATGAGTAATAAAGTGTGGGTAATTAAATTCCGTTTTACATCCACATTAGTCACGGATACAATTTAGTTAATGTCATGACAGTCTTTCTGTTTTACTTCATACAATAATATTAGGGAATAGCTCTCATAAATGTCCACGTTTCACCCTTCCAGTGTATATCATTTTTAATGTTGAGATGTTACAAAATTCCAAACTATTTTGCGACAGAGTTCAGGGCGTCTGAATGACAGAGGCACAGAGTTTAGGGCGTGTAAATAATGGAAGCGTGGAGTTCAGGACGTTAAATGGATGTATAGAATGTATGGTGGAAACATAGTTTCAAATTTAGTCTATGATTTAATTAGAGAATATCAGTTAAGAAGGAATTATTCAAATCTTTGTAACCAACCTTTACGTAATATTTTAAAGGGTGTGTCAATTGTTAAAGATTAAAATGGATTATGTTTGTCGTTAGGGTTAAGGATTATTTTGATTTTGAGAAGTTCTTGAGAAACTAAGTTCAATCTGCAGTACATAAGAAAACTGTTTTGATTATTAGAAAACTATTTTTATTGAAAAATTCAATTTATTGTTTCAAGGGTATTTTAGGCAGTGGAGTTTCGATTTTAAACAGACAGGAGCAGTCCATTATAGCCAAAAGTCTACTATTGAATTTATTCATTTAGTTTCTTAATTAAAGTGCTGATTGTAAGGCTTTTGATATTCTTAGCTACCAGTCATACTAATTTTTAATTTGTAATCATGCATTTATGTAAGAATGCTAGTTCAGTACCATGTTTTGTTCATTTAATTTTCATATTATGTTAGGTAAGAATATTGCCCCTTGTAACAGTATCCCTATAAACTATGTTATTGTAATATCAAACTGTACGTGCAGTAGGTAACAAAACCCGTACTGTGACCAACTGGCAACACTTTATATGAGAGTTAGCAAGTTAATTGTTAATGCATCATCTCATACATCCATGTTTCTCTTAAGTAATACAATTCTGGTTTATTCTCCCTCAAACGTATGTGTGCTAATGTGGGACGTTTTAAGATCATTTCTGAAGACTTGTACTTAATTTGATTTTGCAACCGTTCCCAGATCAAACAAGATTTGAAGTGAATGTCACAGTGCCGGCTTTCTTCATGATCACTGACAGTGACGTACATGGATACATTGTAGCCAAGTAAGTTCATTTTAGTTTCGCACTCCCTAACACAACTAGGGTTATATATATTTCGTCTGACGTCAGTGCCAGGCGTGCGCAAATTACCTTGATGAAGTTCCTAACATTCGTCACGTGATTTTCGTCGTCCACATATTGTTTTTTGTTATCATAAATTTGGAAATTACAGCCCGTAATAGATTTAAACTTTTGTTTTGAGAGGCGACTAGAATACAGTTTTTTGAAATTAAATAACAAATTAATTAAATTGTATAAGTTTTAATATTGAAAAGTGTATTTTGAAAATACGTTCGCGCCTGTAGTTAAAAAGACAATCAAAATTTTCGTGTCAAAATATTAATATTATTAGTGACAGTTTTTAAGATTTAACCAATAATTTGATTTTACACTTTTCAGAAGGGCTATACCATTTGTAAAATGTTTGTGAATTACATTTCCCCAATTTCTGTGGATTCTATTTTCATATAAACAGTCCTTTGTTTTTTGTTTTTCATGGATCAGCAATTATGTCAAGTTTTTTTACTTTGTAGTATCGTCGCAGTCTGAGTATGACTTCTTTTGTTTTTATGGTTCAGCGATGATTTGAAGCTGTTGTATTTTAATTTGTAGGCACGCCACAGTCCGAACCTGATTTCCTTTGTTTTCATGGTTTAGCAAGGATTTTAAATTGTAGACACGCCACAGTCTGGACATGACTTTCTTTATTTTCAAGGTTCAGCAAATATTTCAAGTTTTCTTTGTTTGTTTGAAGTTAAGCACAAAGCTACAAAGCTACACAATGGGCTATCTGTGCTCTGCCCACCACGGGTATCGAAACCCGGTTTCTAGCGCTGTAAGTCCGCAGACATACCGCTGTGCTACTGGGGGGGGGGGCATTTTTCTTTGTAGTCACGCTTCAGTCTGAACATGACTTCCTTTATTTTCAAGGTTCAGCAAAGATTTCAAGTTTTTCTTTGTAGTCACGCTTCAGTCTGAACATGACTTCCTTTGTTTCATAGTTCAGCAACTATTTCAAGTTTTTTTACTTTGTAGTCACGCCAAAGTCTGAACATGACTTCCTTTGTTTCATAGCTCAGCATCCATTTCAAGTTTTTTTACTTTGTAGTCACGCCAAAGTCTGAACATGACTAGCGCTTTAATTTCAGTGTTAAATAGACTGTGAGAAAAATTATTGGTCAACGGTTTTTTGAAGAAAAAGGAGACAATATTTTGATATCTACTGCATATTATATAAGCCTTAAGATTGAAAAGAAGTTTAATACTTAACACGACTTATTCTTTTCTTAAATTAAGTAGATTAAATATAAGGTATTACCTTTTTAAAACTGAGTAAAACTGGACACTGAGTTTCATTGCTCCTCTTGTGTCTCCATTTTCTTGCAGCGATTTCCAATTAGAAGCACCTCAGTGGCACAGCGGCATGTCTGCGGACTTACGACGCTAAAATCCGGGTTTTGATACCCGTGGTGGGCAAATAACAGATATTCCATTGTGTAGCTTTGTGCTTAATTATAAACAAATCTAAACAAATAAACAATTAAAAGCACTACATTAAGCAATATCCTGAATATTGTAAAATGAGAAATTATTTTTAAACATATGAAAGCCGAATTTGATCAGAAAAAAATTAATAATTGCATTTGTTTCTAAACAAATAATTAAGAAATTATTTATACCATTACATATATTATTTTTGTATAACTGAATTATTTCTCTTAGATTTTAACTCTCCTTTGAAATTTGGCTTTTACTCCAAACTCGATAGAGTTTTAAAAAATGCGGTATTACTCACTTTGTAATGGAAGTAGCATATGAATACCCATATTAATACTGGTATGACTTCATATGCTAAGAATGAAGAAAGCTGGTCCCAAATCTTTGTTTATCCAATGAGTGTTAGAAAGGAAACGCAATTAGCATATTTTCAGAAGTGATCAAAGAATCACCTTCACACATCTATTTTTTAGCTATACAAGTGGAGCTCCTGTTCCAGGGAATCTGACATTAAAAGCAAGCGTTGAACCGTTATTAAATCGAAGATATGAAGTTTATGACCACCCACCATTTTTAGAACAGACTCTAAAGTTTGTAAGTACTAATATATATTATTATTATTAATAAAAGTTAGCGTATCATTCTTAGTATTTCACTTGTGAAACTATACAAGTTATCCTAAGTGGAAACCAGTGCAGATGGTTTAAACAGCCTGTTGAAAAAATCAACACTTGCATGGAGGGAAAATCTGTCAGTTTAGAGCATCAGTTATTTTAAATGGAAACTAATTGAAATGGAACCAGTTGATGCATGGAGAATTACAACAAGTATGAATTTATACCCAATCATTAACTAATAATATACTTTTCTGGTCAAATATGTTCCACACAGTGGTAATATTAATACCAAAACTGGAAAAATTTACACGAATTCGGTTGGCTTTAAATTCCTTTCATCATTTTTATTTCCACAAGAAATATAACCTATTTTAAGACTGAAGAGTTTTATGCAACAGTTTAGAGTATTTAATTGTGTAGCATCAAATATGAATAAAGGATAATTTAAATCCAAATACTATTTTTAAACTGAAAGATACAAAACTGTGTGAACCAAAATTTTAAAAAATCAATTTCTTTATCCACGAATGATGTAGACAACAAAAAATGCTTACATTTTCAGAGATTGAATTATCGTGTAAAACGTAATACGTCTTTTTTGGTTTGTGCTTCAAATTCCATTCCTTTTACAGTGGTAATGAAAAACTGTTTGTGCTGTAAAGTAGTTGCTTTTTCACAGCTTTTCTAATTTCATATTTAGTTTCCTGGATACACTGACTTCAGCTTTTCAATGAGCAAATTAGCTCGTCTTGTGAATCAGTTAGAAGGGTCAAAGGTCACCTTGACAGCTTGCGTTGGAGAACATTACCTGAATCGTATAGAATGTGGATATTCAGCCGCAGTTATCTTTAACTCCAGTATCAAACTTGCGTTTCTGGGATCCTCACCCCAAACCTTTAAGCCAAATATGCCATTTAAGGCTTACGTAAGTTATCTATGTGAAACGTGTTTTTATTCTAGTACAGTGTCGTTTAGTTATATTTTCTAAAAAACTTAAAAATTTTGATGTTAGTCATAAAAAGTGTTGATTTTATGTTCAACAATATGTTTTTATTTTAATTTGTTACGTTCAGTGTATTGTTGTTTTTACTTTAGATTTACACCATATAAATAATTTTAACTTTCATTTCACCTGCCCAAATCTAGTGAATGTTTAGAAATTATTAGAAATTAGGTTCCAACAGGTGCTAAAATATTTAGTGCTTGATTATAATTTAGAATGTCATGAATTGTAATTTTATATAACAGTAGAATGAGACTTGTATTGTCCATGTTCTAAATCTGTATAATCTGTGAATCTTTAGTGTTTGTATTTTACAAACTGTTTAGGTTGCAGTGTCGTACAGTGATGGGTCACCATTGCCATCTTGGCAGCTTGCAACGCAGAAGTTGAAAGTAAAGCCTTCCCTATCCTTGCGTGGTGGTGGGTCACGTGAACTGCGCATGCGTCATGAATTGGTTTCTACAGTTGAGCCAGGACTTTGGGAAATTGAAATTGATTTATATTCCGAGCTAGGAGAAAATGGCAACTTGGAAAGTGTTCGTTCCTTGCAGTTAGAGGTTGATACCATTTATTATTCGTTTTTATTTTCTGAGGTTTACTTTTTCGATGCACGATTAGTTTGAGTATTCTTTAATAGATGATATTATTTTGTTTTCATACGTGTTGCTTATTTGCAGTAAAAGATGCGCGTAATCTGTCGTAATTCCGTTTTCCATACATATACTAAAAACACTCTGATTTGACTTACTGTAAAGTGGCATTTAATTGTTCTAGGCTTACTATGAAGACGATTCAGGGGCGAAAACAAAAACTACCTTAACTGCTTTTGCTACTTACTCCCCGAGTCAGCGTCATCTGCAGGTGACTACAAGCACTAAACAACCAAAGGTAGGTAATTTATATTTTTATTCAAATTGATACAGATTGCATTATTTTTTACGGACTTTTTAAAACTAGAAATATTTGCACTTGTATTTATTTGTTAATTAAAATACTTTTATTTTCTATTTTAATGTAACTTAAGTTATGTAAAGTGTTTTAAAGCAAAGCTTGCGTTTTTCATTCAATGGTTAAGTGGTAATCTTTTTTTTTTTCTGTACGCACATGTTTTTGCTTTCTCGTTTCATTTTTTTGTGACTTAACACGTTTTTGAATATTTAACTCACTATTGGAATGGAAGCCACGGATAAACTTTTTTTTATGTATGGAAGTAAACTACTGGAACAAAAACATGAAGTTATAATAACGAAACAGCGTTCACAAACCTAACGGATCATGATAATACACAAAATCAAGGTCAATGCCGTATAATTAATTAGTCAAATCAAGAAAACAAACCACTAAGTGAATCCTCTACTAAAAGTTGAAAGTGTCAACTTTATTTTGTTACATAGACGTAAAAATTAAGTGTTTTTTTAAATTAAACAATTAAACTTTTCTATAAATGACGTAATATAAGTTATTCTTCAGTTATTGACTTTTATAAGATTATCTGCTTATCATTTCTTGTATTTTTTTTCTGTTTTCGAAGAAACTATTTTAATACACATGCAATTTTGCATTGTTGATCTTTTATTTCCAAGCCTATTTTCTTTTATATATAAAAACAAAAAAAACAACAACAACTGAGTATCGAATGTCCATTAACATGACGAAGTATAAATTTTCGGTCAATTCAACTAGATTGATACAACTTCAGGAAGGAAATTTGGTGAATCCTGTAAAGATTTTAAAATTTGTTCCTTAGCTTGTTAGTTTCTCACTGTGAATCATGCTATATTTTGTATATTTGATGATTTCAGGTAGGGGAGTACATAATCTTACATGTAAGAGCCGACTACTTTGTGGAAAACTTCTCTTATTTGGTAAGTATATATCTTGTAAATTTAAAGTATATACACCAATAACAACATCGGTCTGTACTGCATGGTATCACTTAGGTCGAGTAGAACATAATCGTTTTTGTTAGTAATTAATAATACTTAATTAAACACGAATATGTACCTACACCATGATATGTCCAATAAACTTTTCTTTACAGAGATCTGTCCTCAGTATCGGTCAGATTTTCAGATAAATAGTAAAGAAACGCCCATTATTGTTCCACATGAAAGGTATTCAATATTCTTAAATATGTAACAAGTAGTAATCAGTCTGTTAATATTTCAAATAGAAACTCTAGTGAAAACCTAAAATTTCTTGCTGACTAACACCAATACCTTATGATAGCTGTTATTTATGGTTCTTCATATTGTGAAGCAATATGCACAATTAGAAGCTGGCACAATTTATTAAAGGATTTTCTAAGAACTTATCTATTCAGAAAATTATAGTAAACAATGTTTTATTCATGAAAATGTTTTTAAACTAACTAGGTGGACAACTTTGGAATGTTTGCCTACAGACATTTATTATGTGTATATGCCTTATTGAACCCCTTGCCTTTTCTGATGTATATTTATTAAATGTTTGTAGTTTTTACCACTATTTTTTATAGTTTTTTATTTTAAAGCTATTGATGGACTGTTTTCTTTTTTCGATAGAAATTTTTGAATAAAGTAAGTTTTTTATTAATATTATGCTTAACTTAAAAAGAAGATTAATCTTTCCTGTAATCAAACAATTGGTAATTTCAGTCCAAAAAGTATTTATACTTTCATGTTTATATATGTGTATTACAACCATTTTCAGGTTATTTCTAAAGGAATAATACTTTTGGCCAGTCTCGAACAAATGTCATCAAGTATCAAGACATTTGCTGTAGCTTTGTCTCCTGAAATGGCACCATCAGCAACAGTCGTTGTTTATGATATTGCTAGAGAAGGAGAAGTAATTGTAGATAGCTTAACATTTCCTGTAGATGGTGTTTCTAGAAACAATGTAAGTAATTTGTTTTAAGACCAGATTTGAATAATCATTTCACAGTTGAATAGACAAGATTGCTTATGTTCTGCTTGTTAGCTGTAGAAATAACTTATGTATATTGTATTGTGTTTGGATTTTGTTTTTGTATTAACACATGGTTATAGGTTTTTGAATTGTTCTTCTGAATAAGGAAGCTTTAAATAAGATGGGGTTTAAATTATAGTTTTAAAGATGATCATCGTTATTTGATAATGAGTTGATAAATTTAAAGAATATGTACAAGACTGAGGAATATGTTTTTAATTTGAGGTGTTATAAGAGAAGTCTTGAGGTTTTTCCCTTGCACTTACATATGCATCTTCTTGTTTTTTTTGGTGGGTCACAAACAATTAAATAAGTATTAAGTGTTGGAAAGTGGGGATGTTGAGAAAAGAAATTTTTTCAGTTGTTCATTCTATTTTAGTAGGCTATAATAGTGTTGTGATCTTGGAAGAATATTTAACTAATTATTGCTTTGACTATTTCATTTTGATCACATAAGTAATAATCTATATTGAGTGATGAACCAATAGTTTTAATTAATATATTGTAATTTTATTATAAGGATGTACTGCAGTTTCTCACTTAATTGATTTCATATTAATTGATTCATTTCAATAATATAAAAGAAAAAGAACCAGCTTATGGCTTCAGCTGCTCCTTATCTTCAGCTTGAGTATCTTTCACAGAGTTGTAATTAGTAAATGCAGTTTTTTTACTTGTAATGACAAATGGCTTGTTATTCTTAGCTATCATATATATGTGAAATATAAAATTCTTTATTCTCAAAATGGATTTTAACACACACACACACACACAATTTCTCTCTCTGGAGATAAACTCTAACTGTAGTTACTATCAAACCTGTTACATTCCAAATGTTGTTTTTTATATAGATTCTTTTCTCACATAATGCAGAATAAATGTCTACAGTCTTGTAAGCATGTTGACCAAATGAGCTTTATAAGCATATGCATTCTATGCAGATGTTATTTGCAGCTAAAGAACTGTACTTTGTCTTGAATGGAATAACTTACAATCAAGCTTTTGCTGTTGATAGTGGTAGGGCAAATAGGGTTTTAAGTTGTATTTACAGAAGTATTGAATACAAATCTAAAGAGATTATAATTTATTTGTACAGTACACATTCTGTTCAAGCTTGGGAAGGACATGAAAGGAAGGTTACTATTATGATACCTGAGATAGAGAGGTTGTTATACGAGAACAAGTTAAGATTTCTGAAATTGTTTTCTCTTGAGAAAAGAAGAATTAGAGGGAATTTTATTGAGGTGTTTAAGGGAATTGATAGGTGATTCATCACCTTTTTTGTTTTCATACTTAAGGTTGAGAATGGAAGGACAAGGAGATACAAGTATAAATTTTGGCAGGATAGGAGTCACCTTCAGCTTCAGGGTAGTTGGCCTTTGGATGTAGGAAATTTAACAGTTGACTCAATTTGAGTTCTTTTTTAAGTAGATGGGACAGCCTAGATAGAACACAGGCCCCTTGTTGTCTGTTAAATATTATGTTATCAAGATCCATTCCAGCTTTTGTCCTATTTGTTTTTTAGTTTTCCTAGAAAACAGTAGTTGAAAAAATGTCCTGTTGACTTTAAACCACTCTACTTTAGAAGGTATGTAGATGATATATTTGCAAATTTTAAGTCAGAAAGTCATGTTAATGAATTTCTAAAATATTTGAATAATGAACTTAAGATTTATGGTTGGTTGTCAACAAGAATCTAATTTGCCATTTGTTGATTATTTATCGTATAGTTAATAAGGGAGTATGGAAGTTGATGTGTATCATAAACTGACATTTTTAGGACTTCAAGCTCATTTTGACATTTTTTTATTCCTAAAGTGCTTTTTAATTGTACTTAAACAATTATAAACAGTTATTCTATGCTACATCATGAAATAATTTGTATTAAACAATTTTTGAAGTGCAATAAATTTTATGTAGTACATTGATATCAATGATATTTTAACTATCTGACTACCCTAAAGATTTAAAGTGTAATGTGTCTAAGAAATCAATAGTAATGTTACTACATATGAGGCAACAGTCATAGCATATTTAAAAGAAATGAGTTTAATCTTGAGTAGAGATAATCCACAGGTAGAAGTCAGAAGTGTGTTGACGTCTATTATGATAATAATGATTTTTTATTTTATTTCAAGGATGTGATACTTAAGAATAAGATGTTATTTGTAATCTACAAGTTTACATGTCTTAGTTACACAGAGGAAATATGTAGATTCTACCACAAGGTGGATGCCTGCTTGTATGAAAAAAAAACATTGTTCCAAAGAAGTATTACAATTCATCTTGTTTTGTTCGAAGTGTAATGCTGGTAACAATGACGATACTTTCATGATAGTTAAATGAGCTGAGGATGATAGGTGATTAATAATTCATAAGTCTGACAATTGTGAACCTAAAGCCAAGATTAAATAAACAAAATTTGATAATATTGTTTCTCCTCAAACTGTGCATAAACTGGTTCTTTTGTAGAAATGTAAGATTAAATTTAAATGTTTAAACCAACAATTATTGAAATGTGTAGAATTTGGAAAAATCTTTATTGATCTATCATTTCAGTATGAAAACAACAGCATATTTTTAAACATTTCAGTGTGATATTTAACAGTAGAGATTATAAAACTTATACTTTAATCTCATTTTTCAGAGTGTTAAAAATAGGGCAGTAACCCAAAGTTTTATCTGTAATAAGTTAATATTTTTGGCATTTCAGCAACTACATATTCTCCATCAAGTAGAGATCCATCTACTAATGGAAAATCCAAAATAATTTCAGAAAGATCACCCACAAAGTAACATCAAGAATAGCACCATACATTTACATAACATTTTTTTATCATGTTTCACTTGATATAAACAAAAGGCCAATCTGTCCATAAGAACTATGTGTTAGATAGATTTTTTTTTACATTAACTTACATCTAAGTAGAAACTAGGGCCTCTTAGATATTTTAGAAAAATTCATTCTACATGTCAATATATATATGTATATATATATATACTGAGTGGTCACAAGTAAATAGACACCTAATTTTTCGTCATTTAACTGATTTATGCTAACTAATTTCTGTTCACAGAGCACTATATAAATGAAAATGGTCTGCACACTAATTATCTTGTGCTACAACATGCCTAGAACTCAAGGTTCTCTCAAATTGTCAGATTTTGTGAGAGGAAGGATAGTTGGTCAAGCAGATGATAGTGGAATAAGTCAGTGGCAAATTTTGTAGAATTTGGGAATCTCGCTTTCGACAGTCAACAGAATCATCATGCAGTTCAGGAAACATGGCAAGGAAACAACTGAGCAGCGTCCGGGTCATCCTGGTCCATCGGAGAGAACAAAAAGGGCTGTCAAGAGGAGTACTGAAATGGATCCCAGATTAACGACTGCAGAAGTGGCTAAAGTTGGTGGGATGAGCCTGAAATCTGTTCAATGGATTCTCCACAGATTGAATTATCATTGCAGAGCAGCTAGACAGAAGCCCTTATTAAGTCAGACAAAAGAAATGGGCAAGTGATATGATGACCAAGCCTCTGGACTTTTGGAAGACCATATTGCTCTCAGACAGATCAAGATTCACTCAATTTTTGGACAGTGGAAGGATATGGGTCTGGAGAATGCCTCACCAAGAGTTTTGGCTCAACAGATTGCAGCCAACTGTGAAGCATGGTGGTTTCAGCGTTATGGTTTGGGGAGCTGTTTGGGTTGGTGGGAGATCTAGCTTAGTGGAGTGCATTGGTAACATAAATTTTGCAAAATACGTCAAAATATTGGAGGAAGGACTCTTGCCACTTTATTCCTTGGGTTTCGTGGACAAGAACACAACGTTGTTCCAGGAAGATGGAGCACCGTGTCACACTGCTAGAAACACCCAAAAGTGGCAGGAAGAAAATGGTATCCAGAAGTTGTCCTGGCCGATCCAATCTCCTGACATGAACCCCATCAAAAACATCTGGACCATACTCGACCGGCAAGTCAAGAAACAACCAAAAAAAACCAACTTTGAAGAGCGATATAGTCCAAGTTTTGAAGCAAGAGTGGGCAAAAATCCCACGATTTAAAATTGACGAGATGATTCTCACGATTCTCCAAAGGATCAATGAACTCCACGAAGTGAAAGGAAG